CAGGATTCAGTAGTGGAGGAGAGCTAACCTTGCCTATCACTGCACATGTTCCTGAGCAGATGGGGTTGGCTAATGTTCAACTTCTGCCATCTATTACCACCTACAGTTGTCTTTTATGACTGATTGGATTTTAGACTACATGTGTGCAGCAATATGGGTTTTGCAATGCAATTAGAGAGCACCATATTACTTCCCAAAGTAGGTGACCATGAATGAATGCTGAAGAAGTGCATTTGTCTAGACCATGCTCTCTGAAAGACCTTACACAATTCAGCCATCTGGAGCAACAGTGTTTCAGCACCTCTGAAGGCTAGGTCTTGTCTCCAGAGACAGAAAAACTGAGCCACTTTGAAATATTAAGAATGAAATGAGTAAAGGCATGTCATGGCACAACTGTACTTACCACATTTTGCCAGGTATCTCAAAGCTTCCAACTGCCCACTCTCAGCTGCCACAAATAAAGAAGTGATCCCATAGGCGTTTGCAGACTCAATCTTGGCACCCCCTTTCACGAGGATATCAATAATCTCCAGGTCATTTCTGGAGACAGCCTCATGGAGAGCTGTCCATCCTCGATTGCAACGATGGTTGGTATCAGCGTTGTACTGTACCAGGAGTCTTGCGGCCTCTGCATTCTTGCGCTCACAGGCTGTTTTGGAGAAAAAGGGAAGTGATTAGGACAAGCTTTTGAAAAGAGTCTGGGTGTTGTGTTACCTGTTTCATGTTGCATAAGGCAATATAACACAACTAGACCAGAGCGAGTAAGACCAAAGAGCCATCTAGGTCAAGATGAGGGCCAGGAGTGCTGCCAAACGACATTGTCTGGGGCTTGCAAAGGATGTGGCAGTGAAGCCAATCTTCCACCAGGACCTGGGGGAGGCTAAGCGTCATGTGCAGGACTGAGGGGAATCCAGCCCAGCACATTTGTACCACCTGGACACCACAGTGACACAGGGAGGTGACAAGGTGTGGGAGATCTTTTATAAAGAACAAACGTGTTACAGAAATCACATGACCTGAACACTTCCTTTCCAAATTCTGAGCAAACTGACTGTATCTTACTGCAGATAAAGCTCCATATAGACAAGAAAATTAAAAAAAAAAGCCCAAACCAACAGTGGCCCAAAAAGGATCCTTCGAAAACAATAATGGTGTGAGTCAGTAGCATTCCCTTAGCCTGCAACAATTTATAGTTCAGGATCATCCTGAGCTAAGGGTATTTTCTTGATAATTAATAGTATTTTATTGATTTTTATTCTACCAATTTGTTCCATTGCTTTTTGAATCCCAAATCATGAGGCTTCCTACACACCTTTACTGTAGGACCCCAAAGCAAAGGTGCCTAGAATAAGCAGCCACATTTACGCCCAATTAGCATTTGTTTTACAATGTGCACATAGAGAGGCCAGCACATTCCATAGCAATTGTGGGGGTTTTTTTGAAATCATAGTGTCTTTTTCTCACAGAGGTCCTGCCTTTTGGTTTTGTTTCTTCCCTTGGGACATTGCCATGGCTTCCTCTCCCATACACAGGTGTCACATACGTGTACTGAAAGCAACTATCTGATTAGACACTGCTTTAATTACCTATGCATAGCTCTGCAGAGTTTAATTTGCTTCCATACTAGGGATGAGTAATTTGTTATGATAATTTTTTCACTCTTTTCTTGCTGGAGGATAGACCAGAAGATTTTTACACATTTAGTACATTCTTAATAACAGTTTTTCTCTGCCTAAAGGGTGCTTTCATTTTATTGTTATTATAATTGTTATTATTCTTATGAGTACTACTACTACTACTACTGTCACGACTGCGTGTTTATGCACAGTTGAACAGCTTTCCTTTAGCTAAATATAAGCCAGAATTTTAAAACTAAAGTATTTTAAACTGAGCATCTCTAATGCCAGGCATTCAAAGTTGGAGGCAAGATTACTGCTGAAACCAGTAATATGTTCTTTTTAATGTTTTAAAGCACTGAAAATAGTCATACCAGGAGGAGTCAATAAAAGGGGGAGGGACACGAAGGTGTGAGACATCATTTCCTTCTCTGAATCTTTTTGATATCATGAATATAATGCTAAAGAAAGTGTTCTCCCTGACTAGTAGCAAAGTTATATGTCCATGTTAAATACTTTATCCACCTCACTGAATTGTTTATAACTTTATGCATCTCCCATAGTACACAGCCTGGCCTGGCCCACAGTATATGAATCACTGGCATGACTACAGTTACTATACCCTCACATCTTATTTAGTTCCCACTGTTTAGAAAAGCATACATATTCCTGTATTATCCAGCTTTCCCTAAGTTTGGGACATTGTGCAGACATCCTGTGCTGAGAAGACCCCACCAAACATCACAACCCCCACCCTCAGCTCCAGATTGAAGCCTGCACCCCGCAGGGCAGCGACTTAATCCTGTCTCTGATGTGGATGAGAAAAAAGGCCATGGCGTGGCAGGTCAGACATGGGAGATGCAGGACTACTGGAGGGAGGTATAAAATGGGAGCTAATTGCTGAGTTTCGGCCCTGCATCACAAACAATCCCGCAGCTCTGCCTCGGTGGTGCCAGAATTGCTCAGCATCCCTGGAAAAGCAGCCGCTCACCTTTGTAGAGCGGCGTTTCTCTGGCCTTGTTGGAGATGTCGGGCTCGGCCCCAGCCTGCAGTAGGGTGAGCAGGCAGTCCAGGTTGCCCCGGCTGGTGGCCAGGTAGAGAGCTGTCTCCTCGTTGAGGGTGCGCTGGTCGATTGTGCCAGGGTATGCTGTGAAGAAACGGCGAGCCCAGAGTCATTACGGCATGCAGTGCATAAGTATCTGCAGCACCATCACCTTTCAAAATCCTTGGAGATTTAGGTGAGTTTTTGTTGCTTATTCCTTCTTTTCTTTTTCCTTGTCCATGAACAAAGTTAAGAGTATACTATAAAGTTAGTATAACTGAGATTAAAGTACCTAAACCAGTCACTGGCTCAGATTAAAATGTTCAGCTATGGCCACTAGTGATGCAGAAAGCTGCTGAGGTATGCGCTTCCATAGCAGTTTGAAAACAAACTGTAGTAGTTAACCACCTTCAGTCACCAGCAAAGAGGTACTGGGCTGGATCTCTGGCTAGTAGGAAGTGGGGTAATTGTTCAGCTGTGGCAGCCAAGCAGCTCACAACAGCCACAAGTTCAGCCACAAGGCTTTACTGTGAGAAATCCAGGGCTTGGCAAGATGTATCCAGATATCATGTTCTCCTGAAGTCCTAACTTTTAGAGGCTTCAGTCTGGAAACCTATTCTCAAAGAGAAGGTGAAATTAATATACACTCAGAGAGCTTGGATGGGGCTTTGAGCAACCTGGTCTAGTGGAGGGTGTCCCTGCCCATGGCAGGGGGGGTTGGAACTAGATAATCTTTAAGGTGGCTTCCAACCCAAACCATTCTGTGACTTTATGAGGCGGAAAAAAAAGCTTCACGCACAATCCCAGGCAAGGACTGGGCTGCTTCTAATTCTGCTTTTTAGTTTCTTCATATTCTTCTTCTCCCTTTTGTAATGAATTAGTTTTAACTTCACTGACCTTTTTGCAACAGGCTCAGGCAACCCACTTGGCCATAGTACGCAGCTTCATGGAGGGGTATCCAGCCGTCCTTATTAGGTTCAGAAAGGTTTTTTCCTGATTTCATCATGTTACATACTGCTTTTTCATCTCCATCCTTGATTGCTGCCACTACAGGGTCAAGTTCTCTTTAAAACAAGATTAAAATCTGATTATTGCTTCCTTCGTTATTGAGAAGCTGTTTTTGGCAACATCACTGTATCATTTGGCCAAAATAGTGAACCCCTAAAGTCTATATAATAATTATTTGTGTCCCTAAGTTGTCTTGCTACAGGGCCTGTGGAGGTAAAATTTGACTACTCTGATTTGGCCATTGACAACAGAAGAATCACTGGGTGGAGGTGCTGATCTCTTTCCTGACAGTGTAAGGAAGGTGTAGGTGTGATTAATCTCTGACATAAACACATTTTAGATATTTGGAGTTGAGGGAGACTAGCTCTACCCATGCTTTGTACGCTGCCATGAGCATCCATGGTTGTGATAATTACATCACCCTGCCATGTGTCAAGGTGTTTCTATATGAGATCTCTTAAACAAGATCAGCTTTGAAGACAACTGCCCCTGTTCATCCCTGAAGAAAATTTTAACTTTGATTTGCAGGCGGCTTATACCTAAAGCAGAAATTCTCCATAAATTGTGTTCTTGTATTTTAAAGATACTTCCTATTTCTGTTACACAAGGCTGTTTTCAGAAGTCAGCTGGACCAGTTATGAAGAAGGGAGAGTTCTGGTTAGAACATGTGAACGTTACAGCGTTGATCTTGGCTCTCCTTTCTTCAGCCAGGGAGAATAAAAAAAAAATAGAAATCCATCCACCTAAATGAAATTCTGAACTTCCCTTTGTGACCACGCCCCAGAGATCCTCAGCTGTTATTTCAGCATTGAGTACTCAAATTTTCAAAAATGATAACCACTTCAGACTTTATAGGCCTTCAAAAATGTGTCTTTGGTGTTGCAATGAGACATGTTAGGTGCTTCACACTTCTGAAAATCTGGTCTTTAGAAGCATACTTGGCAGTAGACCCATTAGCTCTGTTGACAAGTGCACTCTTGTGAACCTCTTAGCCAAGTTAGTAGTTCTCCAAGTAACTGCATCAGTGAGGGGCCTCTGGAACCCCAGCTGGCACCTGGTGCCAAGCTGTGAAGTGGTTTGTGTTACGATCCGTTTGAACCCAGCAAACCACTGTCAGGCTTCACAGGGCCAAGTAACTTCTAGGCACAGGGAGTAAAAGGAATGAAAAAATATTTGGAAGGGACGGAATATTTTAAAGCCTCTTCATTGAAATGTGTAGAATCACTGAAAAGTGTTAAAGTAATATTTCAGTTTTTATCAGCAACACCAAAACTAATGTGAAAGTAATTTCTTTTGATGCTACCTAATTTTGAAGCTTTCAAGAAGAGAATCACTGTGAAAATCTACAAAAAGCATGAAGTGTGCTCCATGCCACCCAGAAGTGAGACACAATGAGCAGCCTACAAGCAAGGTTTGCTCTGACAAGCCTTCCCTTTGCCAAGCTTGCATTCTGCACAGTTGGAGCATCAACCCATTTCCCCAAGCTCTGTAAGAGCAATTGCAGAGCAAGGCTGACCTGGGCACACCAGTCCTTCTGCAGACCAACAGCAAGAGCCGCTGCGGGACTCCCTGCTCTGCTAGAGTCACAGCACTGCCTGGGAGTCACCGTACCACTGATCAGCCCTGCCTGCAGCAGGACCTGTCTCCCTCTTTCCACCCTGGGTTGACAGTGCCGACTGCACAGCAGAGGCAAGGAGCTGGTACCCTGCAGGCAATGCAGGCAGGATCCTTGCCCATGGTGGGCAGCGGCTCTGTGCATGGCACTGTGCTGCGCCTTCCAGCGCTAGCACCTGGTCCTGCTCCTGCTGAGCTGTGCTGGGAGAAGGCAGCCACTGCTTCCTTATTCTGAGGCACGAAATGGCTAAGCTCCAGGACAGCAAACACCGCAAAGGAAGAAGCATTTTTCCAGTTCTAATGGGGACTTGCAAAAAACGAATGTGGGCTATATTTTCAGAGACAGAACAAGAGGATGTTGAAAATGCAGGAGGGTTTGTGGTTTGAACTACTTCTAAAGATAAAATCTTGCAGCCTTGAAGACAGAGAGACTGGGGAGGGAGATGCATGTCTCAAAGAGACTATTAGCATGGCCAGGGTAGGAATACAGCATGTGATGAAGGTCATGCAGGGCAGTGACGACAGGAACAACAAGAAATTCTGGTTATGACAGAAGGTCTAAAATGCTGCAACAGAGTGAGATCAGAGACAGAAAAGTATGGCCAGTTCAGCACAGGAGTCCTCAAAAAGCAGATCATTGGTACAACCCCTGCATTTAGTGAAGGTTACAGGAGCAGCACTGGATTTCATTGCCTTGTGGGGCTGGACAGACCAACAGCCTGAAAATCACGCAGGCATCATTAATTTCAGCTTGCCCAAAGGTACTCAGTCTGTGCCATAAACACTGATGTTAGCACTGAAAGAAAAGTCACCAAGCTGCTTCTCTGAGGATAGACTCAGGACCTGGAGCAGAAGCAGGTGAACACAACATGCGGTGTGCTGAAGAATGGGAAAAGACACCATTTACCAGGTGAAAAAGTATTTGGTGCCACTTGCTCCTTCTCTATAGCTGGAATCAGTGATCTCAAGACAGCAGAGTCACCAAAATAGCAACACTGGAATGGGGGGAGATATGGGACACAAAGCCAGGCATTTTGCCTGAGGAGATAACAGCTAGAGCAGGCAGCTGCGTTCCTGGACACAGCCCACCCAGGAGAAATCGGCTGACCTCCTATCATCTGCCAGGCTGAGGTCCCACGCACACTGCTGTATCTCCATACTATTTAGAGCACCCTGCGGATTAAACCCAAAATTTGCTAGTTTTGTATAGATAATAGATTTTTATATAGGCATTTGAAATTGAGCATTTTGTTGAAGTCAGTTAAAAATGTTTGGCTGGAAGAGGAAGAGGAGGTGGGGGAATCTTTGTCTTTAAAAGCCTCTGGCAGAAGGCTGCTGGAGCCATCTGTCCTTCTGTGCAAAGGTTCATGTTACACGTGCAAGGCTGCTCACTGCGACCTTGGGATCTGGGCACACAATAGAGTTATGAGCGCTTAGTGAGTTACTGCATGCCAGGTGGGCCATGGCAGGGGTCTGTGCCTAGGGCTGACACACAGCAAATGCAAGGTGCATCACGTTAGCCGAGACCTCAGTGAAGGCAGAGGGTACGCCAGATCTGTGGTAGGGTTAAAAATGCGTGAAGAATCAGTTACTATTCTGCTTGAGCCCTCAGATGTTGAACAAAGCAAACTTCTGTCAGGCTCCTTGACCTTAAATGATTCCTGAGTAAGATGAGGGGGTTTGCTGGACCAGGCTGTAGATGCTTTAGCCAAGCAAATTCCAGATCAGTACAGAAAGTTTAATGAATCTCCATGTGAAATCCTTGTTTTCTGCCTGGCTCGTAGTGGGCTGTTATAAAAAAAACAACACATTCTGCTGCTTGGATTTTGTCAGATATAGCAAAAGAACAAGGAAGGAGGAAATGGAGGAAGCCTGAAGATCTGATGAAATCTTAACCTTATAGGTGAATCAAAAAAATTACTGCATCTCAAAGACCAGGAGTCAAGATAATAAATACTCCTTGCAGAAGAGATGCATGGTGCAGTCAATTCTGAGTGCTACAGAAGAGGTTCAGTGGAGCGCAGAAGGGTTCAGGAAGCTCCTTCTTTTCCTGGCAGCCTGGTGAGACACAGGCAGCATGAAGGAACATCTCCCCACGTGAAGCCAACTATCATCCCTTCCTGGCTCTGAGATCAGGGCTATAAACCAGTCATGCTTATCAATCAGCTTTATCCCAGCCTTCCTTGTGGACTGAATTCTATTGACCTATGTGATGCAGAAGCAAAGCCTGCCCTCCAGTCATCACACCCAGAGCAGGAGAGAGGCATGCAAGGCGTGCAGAGCACTTAATGAGAGGATGCCAGTGTGACCAAGAGATGCTGGCAGGTGACAAGGGATGAGGGAGGCTCCATGTTTCAGCAGAAAGAGGTTTTTACATATGTCAGGGAGGGCAATGTCAGTGGAGGGATGGGGACAGAGCCCGGATCAGCCAGGGTGCAGGGTGAGGTGGGGGATACTGTAGAGCTGGGTGAGAGATGAAAGGAAGAAGAGTGGTGGAGGGGTAGTCACTGCAACCATGCATCCAGGGAGGAACTTGTAAGATGGATAAAACAAAGTGGATTTGAACTGGGTAGATAAAAAGGGCAGGGAAGAGTTTTCTGCAAGATACAGAGAAGTGCTGCCTACAACACTTTCTCCTTTTCATCTAATAAAGGCAGGTGACTACATCTACTCTGCCCTGCAGAGCTGTAATGAACCCATCATGGTCCAGACGTTTCCACTACACACAGGCAGAGCTCGGGCCACTCCTTTGCCTGTCTGCTTTCCTCGTTCATGACTGTGTTCCCCTAAGCTTATTTATGGTCTCTGCCAACAGCAAAGTGTGGCCAGGAGGATCAAAGTCAGTCAAGCTGGTTTCCCCCCTTGGGCAGGTAAGATGTGGTACAGCTCCCCAGCAGCCCTCCTCGGTGTGGCAGGACAGTGCAGGTATTGCTGGGAACAGGCACAGCATCTTGGGAGCATTTATAAAATATTTACTTTGAAGGACCAGACTTTCTCACCCTGTTTATATACTGCAGTAAAATGTTTGTTTTTCCCACTGTTCCCCACGGTTGAACCATGAACTTAATTCCAATGCAGTTACTATCAGCACCTGCCTGCCTCATCTACTGTGTTGACGCGGGAGCCAGCCTATATAAATAAACCACAGCACAGGCATCCCTTCCCTGCTGTCCTTGTCACCCCAGAGCTACTGAATGACCCAGAGTCCCCAGGACACGTGCACTGGAGGGATGGAGGGGGATGGAGGGGGAGAAGAGAAGAAGGGAGGTTCGAGGTGGGTGACCTGCAAGAGCCTGTGCATGGTTCATGGCAGCTGGGAGGTCGGAAGGAGGAGCGGGAAGGCAGCGAGGGTGCAGTGCAGGTATCAGCAAGACCCCTCTAAGCAGTTCATGAACTCCTCCAGATGAACACCACCATCTCCCCCCACCAGACACCATTGCTACCCAGAAGAGCTGGCTCAGGGGAAAAGTGGGTAGTAAGGCTTATTTTGACAGCGGGGGAAAGCAGGAGAGGGAGAGGAAGGCACTTACACGGGCTGGGATGTGCTGAACAGGCTGCCATCGTACCTTCGCCTGACCCCCCAGGCTCCCCCAGAGCTGGACGGCTGAGCACGGCCTCTCGGCTGGACTGCCAATCTGGAGTGGCGATGACATGAATGAAATAAAGAGAAATACTCCGAATAGGAGAAACAGGTCATGTTGAGGCAGAAACAGAGACACACATCCACAGAGATGGAGTGAGAAAGCCTGCCGGTCAGGACTTTGAATAAAAGCAGATGGCCACAGCTTGCTCTGTGCTGGATTCAGCTGCTTGCTCGGCTTGAGATTATTTTTGGCCCTCTGAGGAAGCGTCAGGGGATTCAAATGACCATATAAGACAACAGTGAGGTTAACCCTACCACCACCGCACAGGAAGCAGGCACGAGGCGAGGTGACATTCATCACCTCTGAAGTGCTACGCAAGCAGGTCGGAGGTGGGGGCGGAGGAGGACCCAGGGCACCCGGGTGCTGGCTCCATTTCCAGCCCAGCTCTCCCAGGCAGCAGAAGAGTTCAGCAACGCTACAGATCCGGAGCTACAAGCTGTAAAGTTTTTCCCTCCAGTGGGAGGTCAAAAGCTGCTGGGCTGAGGCAAAGGCAGGGCAGGTTAACGCACAGAACTGCAGACGCTGCCTTTTGCCAAAATAGCAGGTGCCGAAGGACCCCCAAGGTGGACAGGACCAAACGGCCAGGGAAGCCCTTATTCTCCCCCGCATCGGGTCCCCATGGCAGAGCTGACAGTGCAAGTGCACGGTAATGATGCCGAGAAGCCATGACCTTTGATGGGAGCAGGACTGCCTGCTGTACAGCATCCTGATTCCTCAGCTGTGAAACACACTTACTGCTCATCAAATTGTCCCCAGTTTCACAGCCTTGGAAACCAAACAATCACAGGTGGTAACGAGTGACGTATCAGAGGATAGTGGAGTTAAGAGAAAGAAAGAGGAACAAAACCTCAGTTACTCCCAGTTTATTAAAAAAATTAGTTTTAAAGAATATTTTTCTGTCTTCTTTGGTTTTAGGGTGACTTTGTAACCTCTTCCCCCTTCCCCTTGAGAAATCTGCCTTTTATAAAATGAAAGGAGAACAATGGCTGGTTTGGAAACTGTCAGCAGGTCTCTGTAACCCACAGCCCAGCATCGCAGGGGAGAGGGATGCCTCCACGCTTTGGTGTCTGGAGCTGCTCTTGGCTCTCTCTTGACTGAGCGTGACATGCTTGAGGTCAGACTCTGGTTTGAAATAACTACATCCTTTAAAGTCTGCAGTATCTAAAAGGTAGCCAGCTCATACTGTTTTATATGCCCATTTTTGGCCTCTCTCCTATGTTTTCCCATAACAAATGCTGTGCTCCCTCTCTGGCAAAACCTAAGCCCGGCGTGCAGCGTGTGCCCACGGGAGAAAGGAGCTGCTGGCTTCAGCAGGCTTTCTTTTGTTCAGGAGAGCTTGTACCAGCGCCCCTTTTCTTATTTTATTTGTTGCTTAAAACAGACAACAGCAAGCAAATTCTCATTTCATTGTGAGGGCGTAAATTGTTGACCTCATCGGATTTATAGCAGACTCCGGCTTTCAAACTAATGACAGACTCGCAGAGCAGCCGCTCGGTAAAGCTAATTAGAAAGCATGTGTTTAGACAGGGGAAGCTGTTTTGCTCTTCCCAGGCAGGGTGTTTGTCGGGATGGCACAGCTCAGGCAGGCGCTCACTCACCTTTGCCACGGGTAGATGTGGTAGGGCGGGTTGTGGCTGCTGGCACGGCTCGGGGCGGCC